CCCCAAAACCCCAAAACCCCAAAACCCCACTCCTCTGCAAATATATTGAAAAATAAAATTTAAATTTAAGTTTTTATAATAATAAAATGGAAAGTATTACTGAAGCTATTGAAGAAGAGAACACCCAGATAATCAGGTAACTGAGAGCTTAGTTTTAGAATACTTTAAATTTTCACTCTCAAATTTGTAACAAGTCCCAAAACTTTAAAGTTTAACCACAATTTGACAACTTTTATAATAATTTCACCGAAAATTTCTTGACCGAGAAGTTCATAGCAAAACTAGAGAGACTTTATAAGCCTTGCCTCTCTTAGACTAATTTGGGACCTCCACAGATAACATTTCTCCTAAAGACTTAAACCTGGGAGTTCTCAAAATATGAATTAGCACCCTTTCGTCTTCAACTTTCTGAAGGATTCTGACACTGACCTACCTCCCCGCCCTCCTCTAATTGTGCAGCCTAGAGAACTCTGTCCTGACAGAAGCCAAGGAGCAAGAGGTCACCACATGTCAGAGCATCCTCTATAAGGTTCAACCAGATGAAGAAGTTGAGCCATCGGATCCAGACTCAGAAGAAGTTTCAGAAAACAGTCAAATTTACATTAGTTCGGAAGAAATCTGAGATGAACAATTTTTGAAAAGTTTGAAGTGTCTTAAGGTTTTTGATATAGATTGGCTTTCTTTGGATGATATTGGTTCTAAAAATAGGAGTTTTGTTTTAAATTTCTTACAATCTTCATTCCCTAATAAAATTAAGGAACTCGATTTTTGGCCCAGTGACGAAATGGATCTGAAAAGGTCCAACTACTTAAACTCCCTGACCACACTCAGCTCCAAAATCGTTCAAAGAGTTAACTTTGAACATTTTAGCATCGGCCTGCCCCAACTGAAGAGGCTGGTGGCAGCTTTCAGGCATGTGAGAACTTTGGAATTGGTAGATTGCAGGCTATCTATCCCAAGTGTTCCTGATTTGTCAAAGGCTCTGAAGAATTGCCAAATCCAGGAAATAAATTTAGAAAGATCAGGAGGCCTGGATAGAAGTGACTGGAAGAACAACTTCGACGAGCTCGAGAACTTGGTGCAAGGGTTAGCAAGCTCTCCAGATTTAAAATTGAGTCTTGAAGAAGTATTTGTCTATGACTGCGGAGTAACCCGAAATAAAGTTGACCAAGTCTTTGTAGAAAACCAGCTTTGAGGAGTTTACGTAATTGGTGGAGAATAAATTTTGGCTAAATTTCTTATTTTTACTACTTTGGCTTAAATCCTGCTTTCTTCATATTTAGCACTTGGTTACTTTTTAATATATTCCGGGGTTTGATCAAGCTGGGGTTTTGGGGTTTTGGGGTTTTGGGGTTTTGGGG